TTACTTGGCCAGAAAAGTCAATTCCTTTTAGTATCCCACCCGTGATTGATATTGAATCCACAACTTGGTTGCACTATTCTCTATGGGGCATGACTTACTTTCCTAGCCAGTAGCCACCCTAGCTATAAGGCTCTTAATTTCATCCCACAGATATCACAAGCACCAAGGGACAACATGCTCACTTTTAACCATTTTCACCCAAACCTCTGGGTCCAACTCCACCCAAACCCTAGCTAGTGAGCCCAATTTCGTCACATAGCCTGAGAAGAGCTTGGGCCTCGACTATAGTGTTTGATCCCTCAATAACTTGTGTTGCTTACAGTCCACCCCAATTTCGTCACATAGCTATAAGGCTCTCAATATTTTCCTCCTTGTGTTGCTTACGGTCCACCCCATTACTCTTATCTTTATTCTCTGTCTAGCTCGATAACTCTTTATAACTCTTGATAAAACCCATTAAGTAAGTAAGAGGAAAAAAAAAAGAAAGTGGAAGATCATAGGACAATGCCTTGATAATCTAAAGCCCATAGCTTGGGTAAAATTGGGGTGGTCACGAGTCGAGTTTTTTATGAGCTATTCAAGCTCGATTCGTGAAAAGTTTGATTCGGTTTGGTTTCATCTGAGTTCAAGCTCGATTTATAGACTTGTTTATTAATCGAGTCAAGCTCGAATAGCTACATAATAATAATAATAATAATAATAATATAAAATTATAGAAAACAATATATATAATAAAATATTATATATGATATTTTTATTTTTATATATAATAATAACCAATTAAAATAATTCTTAATTTTATTAAATATCAAATAAAAAATATTTTTTATATATAATTTTTTTATTTTTATAAAACAATTTTTTTCAAATTGAGCTTGAGCTAATCCGAATTCGAGCTTATGGGCTTTTGACTCAAGCCGAATTTGATCTCAAAATTCTAGCTCGAACCGAAATCAAGCCTCATACTGCCTTAGCAAGTCGAACTCAAATGCTATTCGACTCAGTTCGACTCGAATACACCCCAAGGAAAAGTGTTATAGTGAGTCCTTTGCTTAGCTAAGATGAAGAGACTCAGAGATAAAAAAGGATGACCCTAATATAGACCTGTCAGTGAGTATAGATTTCACAACTTGACGCTTGAGGAAAAGAAAATCATGTATTTTCTTGATTCCGGACAAATGCCTCAAAGCCTCCATTTTAGTCTTCTACCCAATGGTCATTGTTGTTAATCTGTACTACCATATTTTTTCTTTTGTATTGGAATCTCCCCTCCCTAAACCTCTAGAATAGCATCTTCTTCCTAGTTCCTTCACCCGTTGTGAATAATACATTCGAAGATTTGTTGGTTCCATGAGCGTAAAGAACATTCCAACCGTTTTAGCTTATATGCCAGAATTGAAAGAGGTTGTTTGCGTTCTACTTCCTTCCTCGTTTCCTCCTAATCACTATCACAAATTGTTGCTCCGCACAGTCAACCTCCCCCTCTCTACTAGGAGAGCTATAAAGTGGGTCAGGTTGCCGGTGGGCCAGCACGACCCAACATGACTTAGGCTATGCCAGGCCCGGCCTGAACCCGTGTCGTGCCGGGCAGGGCATTTAGAGATTCAAGAGTTGGCACAACATGACACAGATTTAGTCTGTTAACTCTGTATCGGCGCCTATCTATATTATTTTCAATCTTTTATACTATTCCCTTCCAATTTTACTGTAAATTTTCAATTTTATTTTACTATTTCATATTTAAACAACTGTATACATCAAAATTTATATGGAATAAAATTTTAAGATTTTTTGTTCAATTTCTTATCTATCTTTTAATTTATTTTTTCCTTTTTTTTTTTTAAATTGTGCCACCCACGACCTATCCTATGACTTGTTAGGCTCGGGCCTTGGGCCATGCCGGACTTCTCTTTTAAGAGATTCCAGGCCAGGCAGGCATAGCCCACCAAGCCCTGTTTGTTGCCCCAACACGGCTTGCTATAACCAAGGTTCAAAAAATCATTATTATTGGCCTGTATCAGTTGATATGTATCGTATCGGGTCCTTTCCGATGCGCCCCTACAGGGGTTGTATCAGGTTAGAGCCTGATTCAGAGGGTAATTGGAACTTAAACCGGCCCCTCTAAACCAAAATTAGAAAAAAATAAGTAAAAGTTAAAAAAAAGGACCGATACTAACCAATACGCTCGATACTTTGAACCTTGGCTACAATGTGAGT